CCCGCCAACGCCCCCCTCAATCTTTCAGCGGGGTGTCCCCCCGAAGGTGGCCCTGAAGCCACCCCCGGCCAGGAGGTGACCAAGGATGCTCCATCCGCCACCGTGGCTGAGGAGTTGCTGGCTCTGGCGCTTGGGTGGCACAGCTGGGGAGCTGCCATCTCGCTTCCACCCTTACTTGAATCACTTGCCGGACCCTCCCCTGGGAGGGCACCAGTGTTTACAGATATTTGAATTGTGCCTTAACAGACTTCGTAGCCTCATGGCTGGCCCAGGGAGAGCCATCAGCTGGGGCTTTGTGAGGAGACCAGGAGCAGGGACGATGCCAGCTCTGGTTTTGAGACCAGCCCCGAGTTGGTCCAGGCTCTCCTGCACCCTGGGAGCTGCTGCCTTCTCTCCTGACATCCTGAATGTGTCCTGCTCCTCCTGCCCCTTCCCTGCTGGGACCATGGCGAGGAGATCCTGGCATCACCTGCTGGGCTTGCCGGGGCAGGAGGAGTGCTGCACCACAGGCACCATGCTCTGGGGCCACCATCCCAGCTGGGGACAGTCACACAGGGGGGTCTTACCAGGGGCTTTGGCAGGTCCAAGCTGGGCTTGGCCTCCCTGCCAGGCTTTTATCTCTGAAGCTATCACTTGAGTTACTGTTCTGAAAGGGAATTTCCTGGGAGCCTTTTTACTGCAGCCGTTAACTTATGACCCTTATGTGACCATTTTGAGCCATCTATTATGAAACCAGGCCTCCTCATTTTTGATATAATTTAGGTTCAAGGCTTTTATACCAATAAAGACTGAAGGTAGTGGTGTCACGGGGCATCTCTCGGCAGAAGCGGGCAGCACAGGCAGGAGGGTGGCAGCAGGCAAGGAGCTGCCTGGGGCTCAGGTGGATCTGGCATGGGTGGAGCCAGTGGGGAGAAGGGCTTGAGCTCCCAAATCCTGTGCCAGAGCCACAGGGGCCAAATGGCAGCACTTCCTGCCAGCCGCACAGAGCAAGGCTGTCACAGGGGCTGCGGGATGCTGCAGCAAGTCCCTGTAAACCCCCCCAGCCCCAGCTGCCAAAACAGGCCCTGGGCTCGCTCTGTGACCGAAGACTGGCCACCATGACTCCCACCACTAGCTCGGCTCCCATCATCCTGGTCCAAGACAAGTGTTCATGCTTGCAGGCAACATTGGTGCTCAGGGACACTGCCCGCGGTCCCCAAGGACACCGCTCACACACAGCGGCCATGCCTGCTTGGGAAATGCTCCCGCACTGGCCACATACGAGCAAGAGCAGTTCAGGTGGGGCCCAAGGGCCAGCAGGGTTCAGCTCCCACCACGAGCTTTGGAGGATGATAGCAGAAACACAGCAGGACTGTAAGTGCTGCCCCTGCTGCTCAGCACCATCCTGTGGTTTTCTTTGAGCCCAGGCTGCTCATGAGGCTCCAAGGGTGGCAGTCACTGCAGCTGGTGACATGCAACTAGATGCAATGTTACTGCAGGGTGAGTGTCCCTGCTCCACATGCCTACAGTGACACCTGCCCTAGGACACATAAAGCCACCACGGAAATGGTAACAAAATAGTTTTATTCTGCTTTATCAAAAGAACTTAACACTGTGCATGTAAACTTGAACATATGTATCGTGTTTCCTTAAAGAAGTTGCGGATCCAGTGGCAGACCCCTTTAGTCACATGAGCACACAGGCCTTTTGAGCAGAGGGAAAAAACAGTTCAAACCCACGTTCCTGGCTGCACCCATGTTCCTGCTCCGCAGCTCCCAGCTCAGAGAGAAGCAAAGCCCAGACTAGGGTGTTAAAGCCATGGTGATTCCCTCCTCTTGCATACCTACTCACGCTTCTGAAGCGGTGGCTGGGGAAGCAGAAAGGGACGGGGGAGGCTTTTGCAGAAGGCACTGAGCATCACACACATGTTGCTGCAAGACTTCAGACTGCAGGAGCATCCCCAGGTGTCCCTCAGGCTACATGGGTAGGAGCTGGCTGAAGCATACCCAACCAGGGCAGGATGACATTTAGCCAGTGACAGCCACTAATGGCAAAGCCATGCATCCACCTGGACGACTGCAGGGAGGCCCAGCAGGGCTCAGATCCAAAGGGAAGCAGCCCTTCCTGCCGTGGCCTGGGAGGTTTTCCTGCTCCCTGCATGGGGATCTCGCGCTGATCACTGCAGGAGAGCTGTGAGCTGCCTGGTTATTGCTTGTAGTGGTTCCCCTCATGCCCTTGCTTCTTGTCATTTCCAGACTGGCAGAATCTACCCTGTCCACCCAGCCTGATGCCCAGGGTTTGATGCCAGCACTGGGTAGTGCCCAACTCCAGTGGGTACCACATAGAGACAAGTCTTCATCTCCCCCAGGAGTGCTTCTGTTCCAAAAAGCCTGCCTTTGTCTCAAAATTCAACCAAAGTGGCTGCTACAAGCCAGCAACACCGAGGAGGTGGAGGGTCAAAGAAATGCGACTCCACTGGCTCCTCAAAGCCCTTCTCGCAGGAGAAATGGGACCTTGCAAGTCAAACAGTACTTCCAGGAGACATTTCAAGCATCACAGCTATGAAATTCGCTGCCATCCCCTCTCTGCCCTGGTACCCTTCCCCTGGGGAGGGCACTGCAGCATCTAACGGGGCTAACGCTGTGCCTGCCTGCTCCTCTCCTGCCAAAAGCCATGGGTTTCAGCTCTGCCCTGCCTGCTGGCTGAGCTGCCTTCCAGCATGACGTACAGACATCCCTCCTGCTTCTCTGCCCACCAGTGCCCTTCAAAGGCTGCTCTTCGCCAGGAGGGCACTGTTTGCCCAAGCCTTCAGCAGGTGAAGACATGAGCCCCCCTCATGCAAAAGCTCAGCTTGATGCTCCCCAGGCTGGGATCTGCAAGGCACATCGCCGTGCCATAATGCCGGTGCACCAAGTGCGTACAGTGAAAACTGGAGAAACCTCTCCTGGCAACAGCAGTACCCTTTCTCTCATCCTCAGAGCACGAGGAAGCATGCTTACCTACAACCTCGCTGGAAGCTGGGATTGGTGCTCAGCACCTTCAGCTGGCCTCTCACTGGGGCAGGGTCCTGGTCCCTGGCTCCTGCCGTGGCTGGGTTTGAAGAGGAGCCGGTTTCCTGGAACAGAGCACCAACTGGGCCTTGGGAGTTTGCAGACAGATGAAGGAAGGAAAGACCACCTGAAACTGCTGCAAAGTCCCACAGTCATGTATTATCCGAGCTGGCCAGCAGTGGCAGCAGGAGAGACAGGTTCAATGCATCCCAGCTCCCCACAGAGATGGAGGAGAGGCAGCCAGGGCAGGAACTGAGACAGCGTAAGGCACCATATGTTACCAAACTTCCTTGAGGAGAGACACTGCCATCCTCTGAGTCAAGCCACACAGAACAGGAAAGCAGCACTGGAAAGCCTGAAGCCCACGCAACTCGTTTGAGGAAATCATTAGCAGAGGTGAAGTTCAGGCCATTTCTTTTGGGTTGAATGTTTCACCAAGGCAAAAGCTAAGCATGTTCCTCCCCTTGCCATAAGGCTGCAGATGGTGCCAGGGACAGGAGATCTCAATTCCAGCACCAACCAGCCGAGTGCCTGGAGTGTCACCACCAACCGACCCGTCTGGTGAACCACGCCAGGTCCAAGTGCTGCACCCGAGGGGACAGGAAAGCAGGATGAACGCGCAGATATCCCAGGCTGGCAGAGGAGAGGCGGTCTCTGAACATGTAGTGGGTTCAGAGGCAGGCAATGCTGCGGTGCTACCAGCTGGGGAACGGCATTCCAGCTCAAGCTCTTGCCAGCTGCTTCCCCACCCATCGTCTTCTGGGATCATCACAGAACACAATGAGAAACAGGTCCTAGAAACAAGCACGTCTTCACAGGCGAAGGGGACGACAAAGGAAAAGAGGAAAGCAGATCATACGAGCAGATTTCCCCCCTGCGCACAGCTCTTTCTCTCACCCTGCAGTGGCACATGAGCAGGAGAGGTGGGATATATTACAACGCACACCAGGAGAAAAGATCATCCTGCCAGCACTGCTCGTGAGTCAAAAGCCCTGCAACGCAGCAAAGCCTGGCCAGTGATGAGAGGACCAGCAACAGACTCCCCACCGCGGCTGTTCAAGGACATACAAGGCAGGTCCCACTTCTTCTTGGAGCAGTGATGCCTCACCTGCTTTGCAGCTGAGGTGTCAAACATCTGATCTGCTGCAGAGCGGGGTCCCTTCACTCTTCTCTTCCCCTTCACTTCGCCAGCAAGGCGGAGCAGTGGAAATTCAGCCCCCTTTTCCCTGGTGAAAAGACCTACAGGAGGCTGGGGTCTGAGCAAAGATTTCTGAGCTCTGTTCCCAACCAGCTGCTCGGAGGTGCTCCATGCACTCTGAAATCTGGTTTAGGGTGCAAAATGAGACCCAGCCACCCAGCTGAAACATACTACAGTCAGTCACAGGCAGGCAGTGTGAGGCTCTTGCTTGGAGAGGGGGAGTTACAGAAGCCCATTAGAGATTGCTTGCTCCGAGTCACTATCTAGTGCCACTGCCTACAGGAAAGATGATGATTATGGCTATGCAGATCCTATTCAAATAACCTATTCCACACCAAACCACTCCTCGCCAGGCCTTGCCCTGAGCAGGAACACGCAGCCTCCGCTGGCCGAGGAAGCCCATTCCACTGGAGTCCTTGAGGAGTTGTAGTGCCAGAAGAAACCTGCCCCAGAGTCCACAAAGCGAAGCTTCATTGGCAGGACGAAGGAAACCTCTTCGCTCGCCCTCAGTGAGGAGCACTGGGGAATGACCAGCGTGCAGCAACATCGCACTCAAAGCCACGTCTCCTACCTCCAGAATAATGCTTGCTAAATAATTGCACCTACTGCGGAAGGCTTTCCCGGTGTCTGTCTTTTAATATTCCAGTATAGGTATGTTAGTACAGGATTATCCCTCATTTGGAAGCACCAATTTAATAGGGGAAGAAACGGAAGAGGCAGAGCACTTGCAATGTGTTGCTAGAAGAAAATCAACCCAACTGCCACCTATACACAAGATGTCCACGCATGCGCTGCATCCGCCCCACCAGCACAGGGCAACATCCCCATTCACAGCTGGGCTCGCTGTTGAGCTATACCAGGTATCTTTCTACCTCTGTCAGCCAGTGCTTTCCTTTGTTCTGAGGTGGCTTTCTCCAGAAGTCTCCGGGGCCTCCTGTGAAGGAAGGCTGGTTTCTTGGGCAGTCCTCAGATTGGCTTGCTGGAAGGCACAGGAATCCAGAAACACATTGGGGATGCGGTCACCAAAATACAGCTTGCTGTTCGCAGCTATCGCTTGGTATTTCATTAGTTCCAGATACTCGGGGGTAAGTTTCAGCTACAAAGAGAGAAACCAAAAACTGTAAGAGACAACTTTCTGGGCCCTGCATCATTAGATTTCATCTCAGGCAGCTGCTTCCTGGGATGTGGGCTGTTAAATCAAGCTTTTTTCCAGTGCTGCCCACCTGAACCTAATCTCCTGTGCAGAGGAAAAGAGTAAGCAAGTCCTCTTCTGACCAGCTTTCAAGTGCTCACCTTGTTGGAATCAGCCAGCTTCTGAGCAGTGTAGTACTCCGCATCAGCTTTTGCTTTCTCTCTTGCTAGGAATGCAGCATCTAACAACAGAGGACGGACAGGAAAAGAAGTGTTAGCAAGTGAATAGCCCCATCACATCGAGCACCTGAGCCTTTATCCCATAGGGACAAGCTGACCCAGGTGTGCCCGTGACAGCCTGGCTGGCTGTGTACCTGCGCTGCTGGCTTCTTGAAGAGGTACCTGCAAAGGGGAGGAATGATCCCAGTGCATAACCTTGTGCTATTGCACCCTTTACTATTTTTGCAGGATGGCGATGCCTACCAGCTCAGTTCTGAGGGTCCTCTACCTGCCACCACCCTTAGCTGGAAGATGAGCCCAGCAGCAAGCTAGCACCACAGTTACCTTCAATCTCAGAAATTCGCTTCTCTGTTTCCTTCTCCATAATCTTCTGTTGATAGTGAATCCTGGCCACCTGAGCAGCCTTCTCTGCCTCTGCAATCACAACAGGCTCAGCTCAGACATTCGCTTCTCAGGGCTTGAGCATCAGCACCCTGACCCCAGCACCTGGTCGCAGAATCTGCCACGCAAGTAGCAGATTTGCTCTCTGCTGCCTCCCTTTCTGCTCGGATCCTACTGTGCCAGTTTGTACTCCAAGAATAGTTACAGAAAGAAAACACAGTGCTGATGTTTCTAGAGCTGCACTGGCTGGCATCCCTTTTACAAGTGCGATTCCCCCTAGCACAGGGACATTTAGCTTCAAGCCCAAGCAGTTTTTCTGGCAGAGCTGTTACCTCTTGGCCTGCTGTAGCAGGAGCCCCGCTGTAGGACAGAGGTGTTCGCTGCTCTGCTGCTATGGGGAGGGAGGTGGGACGTAGATTCAGCAGCATGAACATTCATATTTTCTAAATGACTGTTGGTTGCAGCCTGGCTCTGCTTCCTTCAGGGAGCTGTCAGCAATGCACGACAACGTCCTACCCCTGCTTACTGGGGGACATAGGAATGGAAATTCAGTCTGGCCCCTGTCTGCTAGTACTCCCAACTGGTGACATACCAATGAGCGCTTTCTTCCGGTCTGTCTCTGCCTCCTTCTCTACTACCTTCTGCTTCTGGGCTGCAATCAGCAGCTTGGTCTTCTCAGCCTCCCTGCAGGGTGAGAAACGTTATCATAGGGAAGTGGAGTTGGGGAGCAGCTCTGCAAACCAGGGCTTGAGAGGCCAGGGAGACAAGAAGCTGACCAGATGCCAGCATCATGTCCTCACAGCCATGAGGACTAGCTCTGTCTTCAGCTATATGAGCACATGTGTAACCAGCAGGCCAAAGGAAGGGATTATTCCCCCTCTCTATTTGGCACTGGTGAGGCCACATCTAGATGCTATATACAGTTTGAGGCCCTCAGGACAAGGAGCGAGTCCAGGCCAGGGCATACGAGAAAAGCCTGTGGGAGCTGGGCTTGCTCAGCCAGAGATGAGGTGAAGGGTGATCCAACAGCATCTCCCCCTGCCCAAAGGGTCCCGGAGGCGCCGGGGCCGCATTCCGCTTGTAGCGCCACAGCGAGAGCCCCGGAGGCACCGGCACAAGCTGCAGCATGGGAAATCCCAAGGAAACAGCCTGTCCCTGTGTGAGCAGGGCGTCCCTGGGACAGGGCCCCGAGCGGTGGGGTATCCCCAGCGATGCCCCGACTTGTCCAAACACAGCCCCCAGTGACCTGCTGCAGCTATGGCACTGGCCCTGCTTTGGGAAAGGGCTTGGACAGGAGATCTCCACACGTACATCAGGCTAAAATCTGTCTGCAATTCTCCGAGTTTGCTGGAGGGTAGCTTATGGGTGAGACATCAAGACCCCTGAGCCCTGAATTCTTCTACAGGTTCTCTGTAGCCCATCAGTGTCCCCTCTACATAAAGGAGTAGGAACACAGCCTTGATATGGTCTCAGTACACGCTAACAACCATCTTTGCGAAGGGCTGAAAGGCTTCAACGTGAAAAAGCTATGGAAATGGAGAAACAGAATGCACAAGCGCAGCTAGCCAAGCACACACTGACTAGAGCCCACCTCTCACCTTCTGATCACCAGGTAAGAGCTTTCTAATAGCATTATGCCTGTGCTGGACCCTTAAAAACAATGCATACAATTTTATGTACAGCTACTCACATTAGCTCAAAATTTCTTCGGATGGCTTCTGGGATTTTGGGTTTTGTGACACGCACAGCCTATAAAAAAAAAAGCGAGTGCATTTTAAATTAAACATTTTGATGCGAGCTGCATAACTAAGAAATGTCTTTCCAAAACCAGCTGTAGTGCTCTGGACATCTCCACATAGACCCGAGACCACACATAATGGTTCCCAATCCTCTTGTACAACACAGCTGAGCACAGCCACTCTCACAGAGGTGCCTCACATTTGTATTTCCTGTCTTTGCACCTTTTATGGCACCTAAGTGATCAAGTAAGGCCTGTGGAATAGACTGCTAAAGAGGTCCACCACCGTTGTTAGAAGCAGCATAGTTCTCCACCCCAAAGACTCTTCAAACATCACCGGATAACACTTCCCAAAGTACTGCTCAAGAAAGGGGCTCACAAACCCAATGAAATTAAATTGCAGGAGAAAGTCTTGCAAAACAGAGGCAGGGCTATGAGCTCAGGAATGGGTTTTCCAGGAGAAAAGCTTGCAAAAGCGACAACACAATGAGACATAGCGGTGAAGACAGGGGAGAGCAGCAGGGCATGGGTGGCAGCTGGGAACTGCTCGTTTGCAACTGTGGATCATCAGTGATGTGCGTGGCGATGCCGACACCACAACTCAGGTACATGCCAGAGACAGCCGCTAAGCTGCTCTGCGGAGGACTCTCTCTGAAACACCTCCAGAGGCAGGACCAGGAGCTACTGCTGCTCAGCTGGCATGTTGTGTGGCTCATTACTGAGTTTTGGGAGATGCAGATTGACAGTCCATGGCTGTACAACTGCTTCACAACCCTCTGCTCCATCTCCACTGCAGATTTAGATTTAGTGCTGAACCTGCTGCTTCTCTCTGGGCTCAGTAAGTTTGCAAAGAACCGAGGGGCTTCCACAGAAGGGAATGAGATACGGACACGTCCGGGCAAGTCTTTTTATGCAGTGCGAAAAGGGAACCATTTCCATGTGACAGGTTCTGGCAAACACACCCTGCCTGGAGAGAAGGAGCCAGCCTGTCATCAAAGCAGGACACTCAGGAATCACAGAATGGTTTGGGTTGGAAGGGACCTTTAAAGATCATCCAGTCCAACCCCCTCCCACCATGGGCAGGGACTAGATCAGGTAGCTCAAAGCCCCGTCCAACCTGACCTTGAACACTTCCAGTGATGGGGCATCCACAACTTCTCTGGGCAACTTGTTCCAGTGTCTCACCACCCTTATCGTAAAACTTTTCTTCTTTATATCCAATCTAAACCTACCCTCTTTCAGTTTAAAATCATTGTCCCTTGTCCTGTCACTACAGGTCTTGGTAAAAAGCCCTGTTTATTGAAAGGCCACAATAAGGTCTCCCTGGAACCTTTTCTTTTCCAGGCTGAACAACCCCAACTCTGCTGCTTCTCTGAACAAGCAAAGACAGCAGATTTATGGGACATCAGACCAGAACATCCTTCGCTGAAAGGATTTTTCTAAGCACCTACCAAGTCCCTAGAAAAGTACCACATGCAAGCTCACCTCACTAGCCACTGCAGGGTATGCAGGGGGATATTCTTTCTACCTCCATAATACCCCCTGCACCAAAACTAAGATCGGTTTCCAGAAGCATGGCTTTTCCAACACCAGCAAAGATTCCTCCGTAATCAGGAAAGACTCCAGGTCTTTGAAAATCTCCACTAGCTGCTTCTTTTTCAAGCCAATGGCTCAATCTATTTAATGGTGAAAGCTATTTAAATCTACTTGATGGAAACACTACTGTGCGCTGTCAATACTGTTAATAAATGTTAAGGCATTGGGAGATGCTGGGACTAACTGGCTGAGCAACGGCTTTACAAAAAACAGCATGAAGGAATCAAAAGACAAGCTGACTATACGACAGCATCTTTTCCCAGTGGCCACGAAGTCCAGCCACATGCTGAGCTGCACTGGCAAAAGCTCAGCAGCAGGCTAAAGGCAATTTTTTTTCCAGTGTGGGGAACTCAGTATAAGGGATACCAACAAACTGTAGAGTGCAGTTGAAAGCCACTGAGATGGCAATGTAAACGTTGCAGAGAATGGGAATAGGCTGACAGTATGGTACTTCTCCTCTCCTGTGGATCCTCCTCCTTAAATATGGGTGTGACATTTGCCTGTTTCCAGTTATTAGGGACTTCCCTTGATGACTGCCATCTTTCAAAGATAAGAGAGTGGCTTCATGATGGTGCGGGCCAGCAACTCAGCACCCTGGGATCCATCCCACCTGGTTCCACAGACTTGTGTGTGTCCATCTGCTCAGTTGTCCTCTACTGTGGGTAATGCTTCACCTCTGCTGATTCTGCTGCTAGGGTAAGCAACAGGGAGGCCCAAGGGCAGACCTTGCCAGAAAGAAGTCAAACAAGGTGTTGAGTACTTCAGCCTTTTCCATGTCCTTCATCACTATGTTCCCTGTTCCACAGCTTCCTTGGCCTTCCTTTTGCTGTGGATGCACCTCAGAAGCCCTCTGTGTTGCCCTACACAGCCATCATTAGGTCCAAGTCTAGCTGAGCTTTGGTCTTCCTAACTCTGTCCCTGCGCTCTCAGTTCAACTAGCTTTATTCCTCATCTATCCTACTCCACCTCTTGTGAGTTTCCTTTCTGCTTTTCAGCTCAGTCAGGAGCTCCTTGTTCATCCTCGTGGGCCTGTCTCACCTGCTTGACTTTCCACACTTCGGGGCATCTTTGGCAATGACGTGGGGCCTCCTGGCCTCCTTTGCTGACCATGGCAGTCTCCCACAGGACCCTGCCAAGCACATCTTGCACAAACCGAGTTCTGTTCTCCTTAAGCCCAGGCCCGTAATTCTCCTGTTCACCTCGCTCCTCTCAGGACCTTGAACTCACCACCTTACAGCTGCTACAGCTCACACTGCTACCAGACTTCACCTCTCAACCAATTCTTCCTTGTTTCTAGAAGGAGCAGAGTATCTCCCCCAGTCATCTTTGATCACCACTGCCTAAACCTTTGTTCAAAACCTTTCAGAAACATCCAGCATGGCTTGCACCCAGCCCTACTGCCCTTCCAGTGGACACTGAAGTGGTCAGAGACCGCCATGAGTACTAGGGTCTGTGATCATGAGGCTTCCTCTGGTCTTCTACAGGCAGCTTTACCTACTTTGTCTTACTAACTGGATGGTCTGCAGCAGACAAGGATCACGTGGTCCTCCATGTTGGTCTGATTCTTACCTATATTGGCTCTTATCTCAGCTGTTCATCATCCATCCCAAAATGAAGCTCCACATGATTTGAGCCAGTCTTTTGCAGGCAGCACAAGCCTGCTGCCTCACCTTCTCAGCCCGTCCTCCCTAGAGAGCCTGTACCCATCCACAGCAGCACTGCACTCACACGAGCTATCCCACCAGGCCCTGGGACTGCAAATGCACGTGTATTTCCAGTTTCTCAGGTTTGTTTCCCAGGACGTGTGTGTTTCTGTCCAGACACTTGAGACAAGCCCCAGGGTGTGCTGCTTTCACAGGGAAGTGCAGGAGCCTCCCCTACAACACTGTCCCTAGACACTTCTTACCATCCACTGGCCTCCTCTTCAGGCTGTGGCCACCATTCCAGTTAGGAAAGAATGTTTTGCATCAGGCAACCTGGAGGACTTGTGAAGGTTTCATACACACTAGTTTTAAACCTAGAAATAAATGCTGTTAATTCTCTCTAACAGCATGTTTTCAATAATGAGTTGTTTTCTCTGTCACTTCTTTCAAAAATGAATTGTCAGTGATCTCTGAAGTACTCATGCGTGCAAACGTGCTCTTCAAAAGGAAAGCATTATGCCCAAATACAGAATTATTTCCCTTAGAGCTCACAAAACAATTCAATTCTTGGTACAGTTAAGTTAATCTGGGCTACACAGCTGCCTGTGGAGAGTTTAAAGAAAGCTCAACTCTTCACCAAAGGGGCAGGGTATTTCCTGACATGAGACACAGCAACATGGCAGAGTCGTAAGCTGAGGCACAATTTTACTGGAGACAAGGATGCAACTCTGTTTTGAAAGGGAACAACAGGAATACAAGGGCAGTATCATACTGTCTCTTAAGTATTAGAGATGAACCACTTTCCTCAGTAGCTATGGAACCTCTTCAAACTGCTGGTCCGGTGAGCTAAATCTGGGCTGATGCAGGCAGGATATCCTTCAACTTTTGACCAACAGTGAAGATTGGGCATACCAAATTGAGATGGGATAACGTACGTAGCTCTGTAGTTAACATCTCCCAGCAAAGAGCTGTGAGCTTTGCTTACGCCCTTCCATATCCTGAGATCAAAAAGGGCCTTTACGTTATGACGATAATTTTGATGGGTGATGAACTTTTGTAGGAAATCTCTCTGCGATGTACCGTGCAAGTTAACTTGGATATTTGGAAGAGCAGTGCCATCTCAACTTCTTTGTGATAAGACACTGCCCGTGATTCACCCTCACCAAAACAGGGCAAGCCTGTGCACAAATGACCCGCAAAGCAGAACAGTATTTATCATACCATTTCACGTGCTGCCAACAGGAGGCTTTCCCTCCCTGCACACAGCCAGCCAGCCTAGATAAATGTGGCAACAAGAAAGGCAAAACAGATTTGGTCTCACTCTTCCCTACAGTGGAAATCTCCAGAGATTTCTATCTTAGCCCTTATGAGCCGAAGGTATATTTTTCTCAGTTGGTTGCCCTGAGCTTCAACATGCCAAAAAGCCACTATGTCCCATAGCCCAGCTAAGATTAAACATGACTTTCTAACATTAAGTGTAAGCAGAAAATCACTTATGATATAACATCTTTCCCTTATCTCTGGCACAAGCGCAGAAAAGATGAAGATCTCTTTTCTTTTGCAATTACCTGTAGGAACTGTGCTGGCACACTGGAGCGCCCAGCTCTGCAGGGGTGCCAAAGGTAGTTTGAAGAAAAACATTTTCTTGCTCTTTGCAAATTAAATCCAATACCTGCAGGTCTGTGGCCTAAAAGGTCGTTTTCTCTATTCTGCAGGTCTTCCCCTAACATAAAACTAGCATTTAGAAGCAGTCACTGTCATATGGACAGTCTTCAGCTGACAAACCTCAACTCAAGGCTCAACTATTTCATGTTATGTGGAAAACCGAAGCAAGAAACCTCATCAATCTAGTGAAAGGTGAGCAAATTAGAGGTGGAAAAAAGAATAATCTTTGTTAGGGAATGAACCTACCTGGATAGTGAGACCTGGTGCCATGACGTTGAGATCTTTCTGCAGGGCCAACTTCAGATTCTCATCTATCTGATCTGTGTTTGGAGGACAAGAGAGAGACCACTTAGCTTATTATCATTTCTCCTACAGCTTGTGTGGCAGAGAGTCAGCTGGCCTTGAAGAGCAGGTATCTCTATGGTGTAAGATAGAGATGCTTTCTGAGATTAGTCAGTACATTGTTTCCCTTCCTATACCCCCTGGAAAACGACCCCAAGAGGAGAGTCACACACTAGTGTCTCTAGAAAGGTTCAGCTATTGATGAACTCATGGTATCTGAGCTGAGAGCAAATGGCTTTCAGCACCTCAGCAAGAAAAAGCACCCAGAGCCTGCGGTAGAAGTCTATCCCTTCCTAGCCGGAGCCACACCAACCCTGCTGCCAGCAGCAAGCTCTGCCTTAAGTCTCTAGGGACCTGCAGGATCCAGTACTTGCTACTGAAAAAATGCATTTTGACACTTCCAAGCTCCAGGAAGATCCTTCCACAGAAATGGCCAGTCATGAAGGGATTAAGCTGCATGTACTACCAGGAAACTCCTCTCTGACTATGGATATTTGGCATGTCTGAGTACAGCATCCAAAGATTGAGTGTCTCTTAACATTGGAAGTCTGACAACCTTTTATCTTCCATAAACCCATTTTCCCCTGCTCTGCCACTCAGGAAGGAACATGATGTTGTTACGTCTTTGGGGGCACAGGTAGGTACCAAGAAGCCCAACATTAAATTTGCTAATTCCTGATCCGCTGCTACCCCCTTGTGAAAAAAACGAGCATTGCAATGAACTGAGAGCATGTCCCTTCCGGCTCTCACTTGCTAAAAACAGCTAGAAGGAAACTTTTAAAGTAAAAAAGTCAATTCAGCAACAGAACAGGGGCCTAAAAGTAGAAGTAGACAAGACAAAACCATTGCCATAGTGAATGCAATGGGCACGACTGCACGCACAAGAGCAGAGTGGCTACTTTGTGTGTCCAGAATTCAGTCCTACGTGGAAAAGGACTGAAATCGAATTCCCACGTGCAGATGTGGAAAGACAAAGAGATCTGAATCATTAAGGAGTAAATTTACATGGGAAGTGACATATGGATAGATAAGGAGCTGGATTCTAGACTGCAACTCCAGCACAGAGGCTGTTTGCCCAAAGAAGCCTGCTGTAACATATCCTACAGCAGAACAGGGAGATTACACAGCCCTTGGTGGGTGCATCCAGCTGCCATCCACTTACCAAACAGCTCAATGTATACTTCCTGCAGGGTATGGGCACTGCAGAACTGATTCAGCTCATGATGAATTTTATTGAAGATCAGGGTCTTATCGTAGTCTGCAGTGTAGTTTCTCACAATATCGTACACTGAGGAAGTAAGAGAATTATCACAGGTCACCACTGATGTGTACTGCTTTCCGCAATGCCACAATCGCAAAACAACAGCTCAGGGTATTAGGAAAGTAGTGCAGCACTGGGACAGGTGGGTGGGGGATCTCCATCCTTGGGAGTTTTCATGACTTGGCTGGGCAAAGCCACAGCTGCCCTGCCCAGCTGTTAGTGAGAAGCCTGCTGTGAGTGGGAGGGAGGTCAGAGGAGAGACCTGCAGAGGTCCCCTCCACCAGTGCTGCTGGGATTATACGACTTCAAAAAGCAGAGTAATTACAGCAAGATACACTGCACGGTCCTGTTTTATGATCTGCATAAACAAATTAAACAGTAAAGCCTGTCCTGGACCTACATGTATAGGAACAGATACTACTATAAAGTGAAAACAACTCTCATTCCTAACATGAATTCACCCTTCAATGTCTCAGTAACGCTAGCGTTTTGCATTAAGCTATGCTGCTGAAAAATAAAGCTGTGTGGGTCTTTGGTTCGGCAGCTGGTGAAATAAGAAGGTAAGAGGCTCCTACGCAGGCTTTGCCTTTGTAATTTTCCCAGAAGCTGAGATGGCAAGCACCTGGGGACTTTGTCCCATGTATTTAGTTTCACAGGTGGTCTCCCCTTCAGCAGCAAGAAATAGGGCTGCTTGAGCACCCGTCACATTTTCTAAACGTACAGGGGAGAAGCAATCCTAGAATTTATGTTTATCTTTGCAAATCTGTGGCTCTTCGAAAAGCTTGCAGACACGTGCATGAAACTAAGTGCTACGGTACTGGGAACCATAAGGATAATAAGACACAGAAAATGAAAGTCTTGCAAACCAAGACAGAGTGGCTACAGGAGGCGTGAAGACAGTCACACCGCTGCTTGTTGAAACAGGACGGGAAATACCTGCATACGGTGCCAATTTATTCACAACTTCTATTCGGTCAATGTAGATCATAACACCGCCACTGTCAGTGAAAAAGAGAATTCATGAATTATTACTGCAACTGTTAACAGTGGTCCGTATTTAAAGCAAAGTCATCTTTTTCCCTCTTTTACTAAATTCTACTAAACTTACCCAGAACAGTTCTGACTTCTTGAGCATTTTGCAATTAGATGGCAGCAAACCCCAGCTTTGTACAGACTGGTCCCTCTCTCTGCATAAATCAAAAGCGTGCTCCAGCAAGTCTGCAAAGCACTTTTGCTTCACTTTGTTATCTCCTACTTAGCCAGCAAAAGGAAAACGTTTTTGAACAGGAATGTAGCCGCAACTATCAGAAAGGGGGAGTCCAGCACAACGAAGGGAATGCAACAAGGACAGCAGACGACACCTGCAAGCAGCAGAGCAGACACAGACTGCAGATGCACCACAGCTCTTCTAGGCAGCAAATACATTTTGAATGGAAAAGCCCTTAGTTTAAGTTCATGCATTTACTAACTCCAGCAGGAACCTGACAAGGCCCCCGTTAGAAAGGAAGAAACAAAGCACATAACAGACTTTAATTCACGTTCCCTGCATCAATGTCATGTTGCAAACAGCTCTCCAGTAACATCGCAACTGTGCACGTGCGCCCAGGCATGTGCGCTGTCAAGAAGCTCCAGACACCTCATCGGAAGAAGCCTGCAGGCAGTCCTCTCCCCAAGGGATCACATGCTGCCAGACCAGCAGAGAAAACAGGGAATCAGAGGTAGGGCTTGATCCCAGCCTCTGCTCTTACTGATGTGGCTTTCAGCAGGTCATGCCCACCCCTGGGTACCTGTTGCACCAGGGAAAAGCACAAACTCTACAGTGAAGAAAAAAACCTTAATTTTCAGCAGCTCGTAAGTCTCTCAAGAGAGTATTTTTAAAGCACTCTTGCAATTTTGTCCTGAGGGCAAAGGCAAATCACAAACGAGCTTTAGCAGAAACTGTTTAGAGACAGCTGATCCCCAGAAGCAGACCTCACAGATTTCCAAACTTAGTCTCTGTGGTGTTTTAACTCAAACGTATCCCCCATGACAAACTTGGTTTCTTATTTTGCAGATCCCAATCTCTGGCAGTTGAAAACTAAGTTTGCAGAAAAGTCACCTGAACTTGCCCACGTCTGTGCTCTTTTAGAAAAGGTCTCCCAGGCACAGCCTGCGTTCACTCTGCAAACCTGCCTGCTTCATGGCAAGCTATGAGCTAAAAATATTGGTGATGGACTGAACTTGCCTGCTGGAAGGGACAAGCCAGCAGAAAAGATATTTGTGGCTAAAGAGAGACTTATTTCCTAGTGAGATACTACTACTAAGAGTATTAATCTCTTTTTCACTCAAGACTTCCCTTTAGGCCATGGTCATTCTTGCTGGCTCTCTAAGACCCATTACTATTATTTTTAAACAAGATAGGCTTATGGATCCTTTGTAGGTACGTCAGGCCGCACAGTTATAATGGCATGGTATATGTGTTTTTCTTCCATCTTATCTGTTCTGCACTCTAACTGTCCCACCATATCCAATAAAATGACTATTTATCATTGCAAGTGACATCCAACAGCATTCCTCATGACCTTCTGAACCTGCTTTCATCCTCCTGATTTGTTCCAGTCACCTTATGACATCTCCACCAGGACAGGGAAACCCAGCTACCATCTTGGGGTATCTTCTAGATATCCTGGTGAGGAACCGAAGCAGAGTGTGTGGGCTTCTTCCACCAGAATGTCCTCCAAGCACATCCTTATGTTGGGGTCCTTTTGACATTTCAATTTTATGGGGATGTTAGAAGGAAAAAGAGAGCACCTGAGACAATCTGCCTCCTGCACAGGACTCATCCACAGCCCCTCATCACCTCACAAGCAAGAAAGGCTGGAACCTCAGATCAGAGAGGACTGCCTGCTGCCCGTCTGACTCAACCAACACTACCCACAGCAACCCTGCCAAGGATCTCAACCAGCGTGGGTCAACAGTGTGGGGCATAAGTGAATTCTATCAGTCCTGTTGGTCAGGCAATGGCTTTGAGGAAACAGGTGCCACTCAGAGAGCAAATGTGCTGACTACCTATTTCCCCACTGAGGGCTTAAGGTTAAACCGAGCCTACAAAGCACTTACACTGCATTTTCCACACATCCATCCACCTGCTGGAGCCATCATCATCATCATCGTGCAGTGGGGATGGCCCTCTGGACCTTGCTGCTGTAAACCCAGGAGCCAAACTGAACTGTAACACTCTGATGTTAAAGTGAGCATCTCAGATAAGACCTCGTCTCAAACAGCCTGGTCCAGAGGATGTTGTAAACTCCTGGAGTGCAGGAGATACTGTCCTGGGCAGTTTCAGGACAGTTGCTCTGGCAGAGCATCATGCACTGATTTGGGGCGATTCACACACCTTGTTGACCTCGAACTGTACAAATACTCTCATCATCCACAACTGCTTTACTTGCCCTTTGACACCTATGGCTTAAACGCTGGCTCAGACAGCGCTCTTTCCATTTTGACATGCCACTACCACTCTCAAAACATCGTCGTTTGACCAAAGCCTGCTTCTTGCCAGATGCAAGGCAGGGCGACTCCCACAGGGAGATTTCCAGTACTTGAAACTCTCCACCGCAGTTTCCACAGCTTTTCAAACACCAGCATTTGCAGCCCCTCCGAGGGCTACTCGCACCCCTCAAGGTCCTCACCGCAGAGCTGCTCATGCGGCTGGTCAGGCAGAGCAGCACTGAGTTGAGCAGGCTCTTTGGTCAGGGAGAGAGGAACAAGAAGAAATCCATAGAAAGTCTGAAAGGAGGAGCAACACATAGACTATGTGCCCCTGGGAGAAGTTTAAGCATAATTAGGCAGCAATAGTGCCTAACTTTACAGGACAAGGTGAAATGTACAGGGGACTACCATACACTAGCAGGCATTTCAGTACACCTTAGAAAGCCTCATACATTTCAGGATTTTAGCTTATGCCAGGCCAGAAGGCAAGGGAAAAACTGAAGGATGTTGCCATAAAAAAGGGGCCATAAAAAAAGGCGAAGGTTTACTGCTTATTGCTAGAGCTGACAACAAACAAGACCAGACCAGGTTAGGCAATCAGAGCATGTAAAAATTGGGCTTAAAGGTCAGATCTGGTCTGTCTAGAGAGACAGGGATTAATGCAATACATCCATTTGCAATATTCATGACACATTTTTCCACGTGACTGGCTAACAAACAAGGATCTGTCCCAGAACAGCATTCCTCCAGTGCTCTGTGTTCCTGCCAACGATCTGCAGCATGAGCACAAGACGACTCTCACACCTTTGCAAATAAACATCTAATGTTTGAGCAATATTACTGCTTACCGTCCTGACTACTTACTGTTTCTTGGCATTGTAAAAACCTGTACAATATTTAGCATGGTTCTTTCCAGTTAAGTTTATAAAAAAAATGCTACTTACCTAATTCTCTCATGCAATATCTGCACGACACCATTTTCAACCCATTTATTGTATTCCACAATCAATATACTTGCGAGTAAATTAATTCTCAATTAATTGTTCAAGTCAGTCATTTGGAATACTTTGCTCTTCTAAAACTAGTTTATTGAACTGATTTTCCATCAGTTTTTGGAGATCAGCAGATCTGCCATGAGGAACCTGCTGCACTTCCCAAGGAACTGTGCACACATTTTCTTGTTGGGGAAAGCCAGAAATCTCAAACACCTGAGGCAATTCCCAGCTTAGAGCAGATACATATTCTACCTGCTGTAAAGAAATGGTTTTCGTCTCTGGGGTGACAGCTGTTTTATGAAAAAGAGTCATCTGGTGCCAAAGTATTTTAAAATCTGTATTTAATGTATTCACTTAATGCTGTCTAGTATAAATGGGGCAGGTAAGGCAGAAATTGGGGATGGGACACCCACACAGCCATTCATAAGCTTCCTAATGTAGATGAGGATACAGGGAACAGGAATATGAATACGGTGGAAGAGAAACCCAGCCTTTAACATCTGATGGTTTAATATACAATTACAGAAATTTAAACTGTTTAGGATTTACTCTTGTAACGAACTTTGAAACGGGATAGTGAAATTTCAGATTTGATCCATTTGTTATTTATAAGCTAACGTTTTATTATGGAAATGTGGATTCAAAGCTTTGGCACGGAGCAGCTGCAGACTTTGATTCCAAATACAGCAAATTTAAAGGCTCCTGCAGTAACACCTTAAAAATGGACAGGGCTACTGGGACCTTTGGTCTGAAGTGTATTCAATTATTAACTAAGAACTGCTTCACCAGCTGTTGGGTGTTTTAAAGCACGTTTATTACCTGTAACTTCACAGCCACCTGTATTGCACAACCGAATCCCACGATGCTGAAACGTAACAGGAACTTAATGAACTAACTATACAGAATTAAACAGAATATTTAGCTCCTAAATCACAGACTCACAGAATGGTCAAGGCTAGCAGGGACCTCTGGAGGTCATCTTCTCCAACCTCCCTGCTAAAGCAGGGTCAAAGCAGCACAGTTTAATTTTGACTGTGTTAGCATGTCTAATGTGGTTAAGCTTCAGCGGAAAGCTTTGCCTGGTCTGTTGAGAAGGCCTGCAGGACAGCAGGACACCACCCCTGGCCCAGAGACGTGATGCTGTTTAACAACGTTCTGCAGATGAAGTATTACTCCTATTTATGCTAGTTATGAGCTGAAAGTTGCCATTAAACACATCGCTAAAACTCTGCTCTGATAACTTATTTTTAACTGTGCCATTTAAAAGATATGGATATAGAACATAATGAGTCTTACTCCTCCTTCCTGCAATTACTTTTTGCTTGACCTAAAGACTCTTCACCTGACGACAAAGCCCTGGCTACAGCACTGAACACTCCTGAAAGAGGTTTGAGATCTAAAACTAAAACCAGCTAGGGCCCACGAGAACTTTATGTTAATATTTACGCCCAAGTGATGTATGATGAGTTGCTATAGGAATAATTCCAAGAACTCATTTCAATAAGGGCTAAACCAGATCAAAATTAACTCTGCCTCATTAATGTTGCCACTAACGTTTAACTTTTAATTTCAACATGGTCGTTATGTGTCATTATTCAAGTCATACTGACCTTTTTTTTTTCCAAACAGAAATATTGTTGAGTACCCTAAAGCTAAAAGACAAGAAGAATCACCAGTTTTGTTTTTATCCTGAAGAAACAGATTCAGTCATCACTTCAACTTGTGAATGAACCAACACAACAGGATCTGCAATCCAGCTCAACTAGCCTTCTCCTTCTGTTACTGCTCTGCTTGTTAAACTATACAGATCTGTGCTGACAAAAGGATCAGCTTAATTATGAAGCAGGCAGGTGCCACCCATACATAGGATTCTTCTTTATTCTTTCTCACTCTCTCTTTACATCAGATGAAACATCAACTCCAAAAATGCCCAAACAATTCCAGGAGACTAATTTTCTTGAGCTGTTTTTGAAATGAACCATCTCCCATCAGGAGGATTCCCATTCACCATTTACTTTTGCCTACTGCTGGGGTCTACACTTGTATTAGCCACAAGATTCAGACTAGAAATACCACAAAGCAGAGGGCAGACCAAAGCACAAGCAACAGGCTATGAGAGTAATCGAGGGAAGAAACCAAGAAAAATCAAGAGAATATCACTATAAATGCAAATACCCTCTGAACATCAATTCCAGTGAAAGCAAGAGCACTCCCTCCCACACCTCCTGCTCTATTATTTCCAAGTGTGATGTATGTTTGGGACTAGTTTTAGGGTATGTGCCTTTACTTTTCAGCCTCTATGTCACAGCACTGTAAATGACTAGCTGCAAACTACACGATAGAGTGCATCTGCTCATCACCAGAAGAAACACAAAGGAAAAACATACCTTGTCCCACAAGGCACATTTTTCACTTCATCAGTCTGCAACGTGGTCTGAAATAAAAAGACAACCAGTGCTCACAAAATCTCTCCATTTTTCAGGAAGATCATGCTGTGCACAGACTCTCACAACCATTACACAGGAACATGGAGCCAAAAACGTGTCCCCTGCCTCCCTCCTGACTTTTGCAGGTGTGGGCAGAAGACAGACTTCTTTTCAACTTGCCTTTTGGGAGATAGAAAGGCAGCTGTGCTCATTTCCCTAATCTCAGCTTCTGCAACACTAAGGCCTGCAGCTCTCCTGGGAAACAATTAGGGCCACAAACACAGGCTGTCCTCCCAGAGCAAGACATCTCCTGTCCCAAGCAACACACACATGTTGCGGAGATTCCAACAAAAGCACAAGTCCCAGTGCACAGCTGGGTCTGGCACCTAAGGCAGAAGGAAGCATGGGCTTCCTAGGAGCTGCTGCTCTGACTACCACTTTACTGAGCCCCTCTGCAAACACCAGTTGCCCATGTGACCCCCATCCAGCAATATCCCTACCAACATCTGCTCGCACTCACACTCTTCCAAGATGAGAAGATACTAACCTGCACGGATCTGAACGTGGTAACGAATGGGAGCATGATGTGGTAGCCCGGTCCACTCGGACTAGATAACAACGCACCACCCCTACAGAGAGAGAGAAAAATGGGGAAAAGGCTCAAGCAACTAGAAAATAGTAAGTGTTGGCTTTGAGAGCGAGCAAGTACATTCAGACTGCTGGGGGTCACAGCTGTGATAGTGCAAATTACACTACTCACCTGCACCAAATTTGCCACCAATTCCCCTCAAAAGAGCTGACTGCGTATACTTGCCTGCTGCAACTTGAAAATCATTTGCTTCAGTCCTGTAAGCAATTAACTTTTAGAGAAGGCAGATATTGCTAGATTCTTCCATCATTGCAACATTGCAGAGAGCTTCAAGAACACAGATTCTTCTCTCTAAATAGTTCACTGGTAACCATGGAAAAATCCAGCAGTTGATGCGATACCGCCAGTTTGGATTTCCACGAGGCACTCGGCACAGTCCCTTACCCAAATCATAAAGAAAACCCGCAGTCTCTTGTAGGGACTGGCAGGTGGTTAAAAGACAGGAGACAGAGGAGAGCTCTAAGCGATCGATCCTCATAGTGCAGTAAGGTCTCCTGCAGCATCCCGCAAGGGCCCATGCTGTTCAAAACACTCGTAATTAAAGGAAAGAGCAGTGCAAAGGAGACTGGCCCATGGCGGTGAGCACGAGGACAGAAATAGAGCAGATACAGCAGAAAATGCAGAAAGGCTGGTGCTGAGTTTCTGTATTCCTTTATTCAAATTTGAAGCAAAATCTAGTCAAGAGGTGACATTTAGTGACTGTGACCACTCACTGTTACGGACTGACAATGAGTTGCTCTACAGATGCTATTCAGGGCAGCTACGAGCCCCAGATGAAACAACCCAGAGCCAGGGAGAAGACCCATTTCAAAGCAACAACAAAGCGGGTACTCTGGCTGGCTGACAGTCTTGGACAGAGGTGACAGCCCTTGATGTAAGAGGGAGAGATCAAGAGACGTGAAAAGACTGGATGGACCAAGAGCTTTGGTCCTCTAAGCTTTGAAATCCAAACTGTGACCCAGAAAAGGAGAGGAAGGAGAGGGAGGAAAAGCAGCTGAGGATTCAGAAAGACCAAAACGGTTCTGCACAGAGCCAGGCTATCCAGGCCCACATCGTTTCTGGCGCAAGAGAGCAGAAACAACACGGCCTGCCCATTTCAGGGCAAAACCTGGAGGGAAACACAGGAGAGAGCAATCACCTCCCGAGGTGATCTGGGGCCAGGGACGAATCCCAGCTGAAAGAGAGAAACTTAGGGAAGGCTACAGAAGCCCTTAGGGCGCTGGCAGGGAACAGTACCTGTAATACACGGCCAGGTGCCCCTCCTCAACCTTGTGGATGGAGGAGTACAGGAAGAAGACGAGGAGCCCCGTGGCAGCTGCAGCTACGGCTCCAGCCTGGGCCATGGTCATCCTCGCACCACCTGCGGGACAGAGACCGTTACCACCGGAGCAGCGAGTCGCCTGGACGATGGGGCGCCGTTTATCCCGCGGTCTGCGTGAAGATCTTCGCGCTCTCTCCTCGCCGACGGCGTCAGAGACCACAAAACCTTCTCAGCTCTTGAACCAAAAAGCCAGGGAACATCCTCAAAGCGCCCAGCGGGCCTCGCTCTGCAGCGGGGTGCCGTCGCCTCG